TAACACAACAAATCAACAAATTAAACTCAATAGATACTTGACCCAACGGCTGCTGGGTTCAAAACAAAACGCAGAGCCTCACTTGCAGGAACCCAGTGGCTGCTCAAACCTAGCAACCGCTGGGTTCCACTGACCCAGCAGCTGTTGGGTTTGAAATGAAACCCACTACCTGCTGGGTTCGATTTTGAACCCAACACCTGCAAAAACCTAGCGGCTGGTAGGTTCGAAATTGAAAAATCGAACCCAGCGTCGAACCCAGCACATACAGTAACCCAGCAACTGCCTTGCCTTGCCTTCTTCATCTTCATCAATCAATTTTTCATCACAATCAAACAACAAAATCCAAAAAACAAAAAAATTTTTAATTTTTTGCACCTGGGTTCGCAAGGAACCCAAGTGTGCTGGGTTTGTAGGAACCCAGATGCGAACGCAGCACGCTTGTGTTCCTTATGAACCCAGCGCCTGGGTTCGCAAGGAACCGAACCCAAGCTTGTTGGGTTCCATCGAACCTAGGCATGCTGGGTTCAGTGCGAACCCAAGCGAGCGTGCTACGTGCTGGGTTTGTAGGTACCCAGACGTGAACCCAGCACCTGGGTGGGTTCGAAGGAACTTAGGCCTGTTGGGTTCCAAGGGGAAAAAGAAGGGAAAGGGAAAGGAGAAAGAGAAAGGGAAAGGAGAAGGAGAAAGAAAAAAGAAAAAAAGAAAAAAGAAAAAAAATTTAAGTTTTATTTTTCATAATATTTTTTTATATTATTATTTTTTCCACATCATCACTTTTTGGCTATATTATCTTCCACGTGGATTACTATATGACATGTCATTTGATAACCATGAAGTAACAGGCCATGTCACACAATTTTTAATGGAATGACCAAATCGGGGTAAAAATGGTAAACAGTAGGAACCAAATCAGGGATTTTTTTAGTTCAGGGACTAAATCGGGGGTCTGTACAATAGTTCAAAGACCAAAAAGGGGTTTTAACCTAATATGAATACAAGACACTCACTCATTTCAATTGCAATGGATTAGATAGATATATTAGTTAACTTTTTCTTATTGAAATTTTGTTATGGTTAATTTTTCACGAGATTGACAAATAAATAAGGGTGCATACATATGACCGTTATTGATTTAATTATCAATGTATTATGAGGTTCATGAACAAATGGTAGAATACAATGGTTAGATGCTCTCTAATCTTATTGTTCAATAATTAAGCCAATAAGCTCTTGTTTTTTGTCTAAGAAAAATTCTATCCACGAAGAATTTTCAATAAATAAAATTGGTGTCCTTCCCTTCACTAATAGAAAAGTTGAAAGCCAGTCATGGATTGCTCTTTGATAACCAAATTCCATAGTTTACATGAGGATATCTAGTTCAAAGACAATATATATCATATGCTTAATATTTTCTTTTTCTATTCTTGTGTTTATCCGATGAGGCACATTTTATTTCGTTGTCGAGGATGAAATTAAATTAAGCTATCTAGAACACTTGAGGCACCATACTTTGAACATAAAATTGATGAAGAGTAAACATAGATTCACTTACTCGGTAAAGGAAAGGCTTTTGCTTACAAATGTATCCTAAATTATATATGAAAATTAATGCAACTCAATTCCTTTCTAATGATAAAACTCTTGACAAAGATAACATGGCGGACAGATTCGTTTCAAATGCAAGTAATCATGAAGAGAAAGAAACCTATTGTAACTAGCTAAAAATATTAATTTGAATGCAATATGGCAGGAATATAATAGTTTTGAAATGAATGAAACCTTATTTGAAGACACTTTTACTGCAAATAAAAAAAAAAAAAAGTATGCAAAAGGAAAAAGAATCTCAATGAGTATGTAGATAATTCTTCATTGATAATTTGGTGCTTCATTTTTCCACATATAATTAATTTTTTTTAACAACAAGAAATATTATAAATATTATAAAAAAGAATACAATAACTACTACAACTCATTAGAAGTTATAAAAATGTAATTAGAGGTACAAAATTGCATAGAAATGTTGATTTTTAATTGTAGTGAAGATGAATTAAACAGACCACGAGATTTTTTAATTACAGTGAGAAATAATACGCAAACAATGGCGGGCAAAGTGTTGTGCAACTATAATGTAATGGCTCTTATTATTTACAAATTCTTGTTGGTCCAGCCTCCTCAAAATAAGGATTATATACTTCCCTATAAAAATAAATGTTATTTTTTATGATAATGATGTGTGCACACCCGAATCTCACACCTGGATATGCACACACCATATAAACAAAAAAAAAAAAAACCCATCGCCCGGTCCAATTTTTTTTTTTTATATAGGGGGTGCACACCCGGGTGTGGGATCCGGGTGTACACCAATCAATGTCCTATTTTTTATTTTAAAATTAATTTTTATTTTTCTATTTTTTAAACCAGACAAATATATATATTTTTTAATTTAACCATATCTTTATTTATTTACTTTGATTAATTATCCTATTACAAAAAGGATGACCTTATCTTTAGTTTTTACTTAAAAGTAATATAGGGAAATATATGACTTATACCCAACTCATTAATTTAAGAAAAAAAAGTTAAAAAAGACAATTTTTTTGAAATGGAGTATTATTATTTCCACTGTGCATGCATACTGTAAAAAGTGTTAGAATTCTGCTTGCATTTTTTAAATAGAATTTTTATTTTACTAATAAAAAAGAAAGAATAATATTAAGATTTTTTTTTACATACAAGACTTATAAATGTTATTTAAAATCATAATTATTCATCATTTATTATCAATAATTGTAATTTATCACGATTTTTAAGTGAAAAGATAATTCATTTTTAAAAAATAAAATAAAATTGAAAGAATAAATCACAACCATTTATAAAAAAAAAAAAAGTCAAGATTTTGTGTAAATATCTTGCCTTTCTAGAAAAAGAACAATTTTGGCAACTTGTTCTGCAATAATATGTTACCATGTATGAGAATTTCAGTGATTGGGCTGTTCAAGCCCTCCAAAAAATTTTAAAGAAGAAATTAAAGAAGAATCTAGCAGGGATAAACAATTTTGGCAATCTGTTTACGATATTAACTATGTCTAAAATTCTTGTGATTTCCCTCGCTCCACCCTTCCAAAAAAACTTAAAAATGATGTCATAACAATTGCTCCCTCTATTTCAAATTATAAGTTGTTTAATGTTTTTACACGTAATTTTAAATATTATTTTTTATACATAGTTTTTATTAAATAATTTTATTTAATGAAAAAATTAATTATTATTTATATATTATAAAAATATATAACATAAAAATACATGTAAAAAAGTCTAATAACTTACATTTTGAAGCGATTATATTGTCTCAAGAGCAATGCTAGGAACACTCACCATTTGCACTCTCCAACCAACATTCAACTTTCATTGTGCCACGTTATGTTGGGTGGGGAGGGGTAGTCATTTCATAGCCAAGCAAGCTTACGTGGCCCAATAACAAAGCATGTGTTGGCTAGAGAGTGCAGGAGGCGAGTGGCCCTAGCACCGCTCTTGCCTCAATAGAGGCACACCACACCGTAAGAAAAAGAAAAAGAAAAAGATGATAATAAATCATTATCAAGCGGTAGCTCACAAGCTAAGAAATTAAGGGCAATTTAGTAACGTTATATCGTTGCCAAAATTTAAATAATTGAAATTGAAAATTAGAAGTTAATATTGGAAACTAAAATAAGTTTT